TCATGGCCAAAGGCACATGAGGGAACAGTCATTCTGAACTCTACATATATCAACTGATGTCTGCAGGTATCACTCACTCAGTGACACATTCTCAATCTTAAGGAATTCCATCTATAAAAGATAGTCATGGAAGCCAAAATGAAGACATAGTAAGCTTTAAACACATATAAACATACACAATCCCATGTATTTATATATGTATAATATATACATAGAGTATTTTGGTTAGGCAGAAACTAGCATTGCCATAATTTGTTCTTGATAATTAAACAAAGCATCACCAAGCACCAACGTTTTCTAAGACATTTTCCATAGTTTTAACAGACACTGGTTTTGTAAACTCCACAAAATGCATTACAACATGAATATAATTCATCTGTTACTTGGATGTGGAACTCAACTGAATCCTGGAGCTTTCTGGAAGATCACAGAAGAGGACATGGCACTGAGCGGGGTGAAGGAGTCACAGACATCACAGCACGCACTTCTGGTTTTCTGCTTATTGCTTAATTCATGTCTTGACTGCACAGGTGCTTCCGTCACGTATGTATCTTTGGCTTGCTACAACCTCATGATTTTGACCACTCCATCAGTGTTCACTCTGGGACAGCCTCAGGGAGGAAGCAATGGGTATACAGAGCAACCGTCTCTCTGTTAAAAGGAGAGAATCTTCCCTCTTTCCTCTCCCAAACCATGAGCATTTTATGAGGGAATGGTGAAAAATTTACAAGCAAACAAATAAATCTAACATCGTTCACGTGATAAAAAAGATGTGACGTTACATGTAACTGAACTAAAAAGCATCAGATGAGCAAACACACCACACTCCAATATTCTGAAGGCTTTGCAATCAGTAAAAGCGCATTTCCTGCTGAAGGATCAGTGAACTTCCGGGCACTTGTCTTGCTGTACATTTTCTGTAGTTCTTTTACTTCTGTGTAATACTTAAAGTGCAATTGTTCCAAGGCTTTTGTTTCCATCATCACAAATATTATAAAGAAAGAGCTATGTTTAGGGTGAAGAAGATATGGCACAAGTAATATGTAAAGAACCCATGACTTTCGCATCCTCTAGCAAACAGTAAGCTGCCTGTACAGCTGCACACAGACGGACTTTATACAACAAACTCTGGAACTTCATCATGAGTGAGATCCAGAGAAAAGTATTTGCTGGTTCTTTTGACTGGAAAAGCATCTTGGATGTTGATGCACTGCTGGGCCAAGCAACTGTTGCAATAGAGGCCTTCCTCATCCAGTTCATGGCCACATCCAAAGGTGTAACTCTGAGCAGTGTCCTGACACAGACCTGCAATGCGCAGGAAGTCTTTCTGGTAAAGTCGGATGTCATCAAGGCTCAAGCTGTGTCGATCGGTGGAGGTCTTTGGTTTCCGACATATAGTCTGCAAGATAAGGGAAGGTTGAAACAACTTTATAGACTAAAGTGAAAGGTTAGAATATCTGCCTTGTAAAGAGAGATGCCACAGAACCACAAAAGGTTAAGTAATCCTTACATGTTAGAAAGTGGTTTCCAATCTGTGGTTTCTGGGCCCTATGAGGAAATATATCATCAACACCACCTCTACCAGTAATAATAGCAGCTAACATTTACCGAGTAATTACTATGTTCCAGACCCTGACGTAAATACTCGGCATGTATTAACTCATTCAATCTTCCTAACAGTCCTAGGAAGCAGGCACTATCATTCTCCTCATTTTACAGATAAATAATCCAAAACACAGAGGTGCAAATACAACAGAAATCCAACTATCCCTAGCATTTCAGAAATCAAGTAATTATCTTGAAATAAGGTCGTATAGGTAAAGACATGGTTTCTTTGTGTGTTTTCTTTTTTTTTCCACTAGGATATGGCAATTCAATGTGGCAACACTTTTAGGCCAAGGTCTGTTATTATTTTAATAAGAAAGGGGAAAATAAACCAATTATCAAGAAACACAGTTTTGCTCTTTAAAAGCCCAGAATTCTTGGGTTGAATATAAAGTGTCCTTGGTGCTGGGTCGGATATAGGGCGTTCTTGGTGCTGAAGAGGCTGGGAGGCAGGTACCAAGACTAAGTTCCCGAACACGGGGCTGGGGGCGGGGTTCTGCCAAATGCTGTACACAGCGGGGGCAGACGTTTTTATTCACCCAAGAGGTGGTATTAGAAATAGGTTAAAAATGATGCTGATAATTACATGAATGGAAGGTATGTAATAGGTCATTTAAGGAAACCAGGCATTATAGCTTTAAATTTTGCTGCTTACCACCACAAAGGACAACCCTGTTAGAATAAGATACAATTTCTGCTAGAGGCAAAAGTTCCAGAAGCACGTTTTACTAGGAAGTGTCACATCTGAGTGACTCCTTGTGCCGATGCAGCCTTCCCAGGCTCCAACGGGATTTCACACATAGAATCATCTGGTCATCCCCACAGACTCTCAAGGAAGGCACACAATGTTCTCCCCATAGTGTGGGTGTGGAATCTGACTATCAGTTGTGTCCCAGAGACATCTCTTAAGAGTAGATTACTCATTGGAGTTTTCAGAAAAATATTTCATAAACATCATTTTCACATTATGGTTACTTCAGTGGAAGTAAGAGAAAGAAAAGACAAATGAGAAAAAAAGGGAGGAAAGAGGAGGAGAAAAGTAGGGGACAAGGAGAGCCAGAATGCAAATGAGAAAAGAGAAACATACACAGAAGGGAAAAAAACAAGACACAAAGAGAGCCCAAGAAAGAAAGGCAGGAGGAGGGAGGATGTGCTCAGGAAGTAGGGCCATCAGTCACACATTACATCCAAATGCTGAAACCATTTCAGGGTATTTTATCTATATTGCTGGACATTTAATAGTTGAACCAATGATCACAGGTTGTCAAATGCTCTAGGCTCAGCATACTTTGAAAATTCAATCTGAATGGAATAACCAGAGTGTGGAAACATGTCTGCCAGAACACCCTGACAAAAAATATTATTCTCCCAGGTTGAGGACAAGTAACACACACACAGACACGTGCACGTGCACACGTGGTTCGACGGAAGCCCGAGGACCAGAGGCTTCCCAACCATATAAAGTGTGAAGCAAAATACATAATTATCTAAGTAAAAATCAACTCAAAGATAAGCAGAACTAGCAAATAAGATGGAAATAAATTCAGAATAAAGCTAGAATGTATCTAGGAAGGATCATTTCCTTAGGGTTTTTAATTTTTGCTCATCTGTATAAATGTAAGTATAAGTTACTACCTAAAATTTTCTATAACTTCATTTTCCTAATTGATATTTTTCAATTCCTTTAATACCTGTGGAAGAGAATCGGTACTCTGGCCACGAAGCTTAACAACCGTTTCTGAAGAGCTCGAGGTGGAAGACCCAATTTCTTTCACAATCAACCCTGAAATAAAACACAAAGATAGAAACAAAAAATACTTCAAATTATTCATGCCTCTTGCCATATATTCTGACATATTGCTATCAGGAATGAAAAATCAAATATTAACCATTACCAAAAAGTTTCACTGTGACTCTTTGGTGGCAGACAACCAGGACAGCCCACACTCTCTCTCATCTTACAGTAAATAGAGATGAATGAGTCAATGTAGAGTTAGAGTGTAGGAAGATGTTTAGAGTCTGAATTTTCTAAAACTTCTAATTAAGCTATTTATAATGACGTTACAGACAAGAAGCAAAGACTATTGGTGTAAAGTCGCCTCTTTACTGCATATCATAAAGCTTCCCCTCCTCCCCTTTCTATACAGCAGCAACATTAAACTTAACCCTTACTGGACGCACACCTTCTAGATTTGGTTTGGCTTCGATGTATACTGGTGAACTGTGGGGGCTCTGGCCTCTGAAGTCAGACAGATCTGGCTGGATCCTGGCCCAGACAACTAATTAGCCATGTATCCTGGCCAGTTACTTAGCCTCCCAGTGTCTCAATCTCCTTCTCGTATAAAATCGGGCCAATAACAGCACCTGCCCGCTAGTTTTAATGACAATTACACAGTGAAAGCATAAAAGGGTAAGGTACAGAGACTATACATGGATACACTCAGTTCACGGCAGCTCTTTTTGGGTGATGGGATACTTGGCACATACCTCCTGCAGCAGATCCCCCCGGTAGGAGACAAACTGGGAGGCCATAGTGAAAATTCAGTACTGGGTCTTTAAGAACAACAGAGGCCCTAACCTAACCACCTGAGCACTCAGTGGAAACCCGCAAAAATTTCAGAAGCAGAAATCCAGGGCTGACATTTCCCTACATGACCGGCATATGAGTGAGGCACTGAGCAGAAACATGTCTCAGAAGTTAAAATTACCAATAAGAACTAGAGGTATAAGTGAACACCGCTGAAATTTTTCTTGCCAATGAATGAAGCAAATGTACTACAGGTCAAACCCTAGATCCATAAAGCCAAATGGCTTCTTAAAAAAAAAAAAACAAAAAACCTTAAGTAATGTGATTCTTATTCAACTACTGCTAGTAGTCTACAGAATGACTTGTGTTCTATCCCTTAACTCTTTAGAAACATCTCATAATGACTCAGGGTCTAGCATATGCCATAAATATATTAAGCATTCAATAATTAATTCAATTGAAACATGAAATATGAAGACATTCCTGGTTTACAAGTAGACACTTTAAAAACTCACGGGATACTCATGTTTTAGGGTTTAGTACAAACTGCTTTAGGAGAGGATCTAGAATGATCTTTATCTTCTAAAGAGCATTAAACCTTTAAACAAATCATCATAGAGACATGTGGACTTGTGCACTGGTTGGCAACTAGCATGGTTCCTTTTGAATTTCCTGGTAAATGTGCCCGTGGCTATCATGCCTGTAAAGAGTCTTCTCCAAATCTAGACCCACCACTGAAAAAGTAAGTACCAACCTGGTGCTCAAAACACTTAACCAACTCCTATCACACTCTATAAGAATGAAAGACAGAGTGGTATACTTCATCACTACTCAATCTTAGCTGAGTGTTCTTTTTTTTTTTTTTTGGAAAGATATGGAATGCTTCACAAATTTGCATGTCATCCTTGCAGAGGGGCGGGCCATGCTAATCTTCTCTGTATCACTGCAACTTTAGTGTATGTGCTGCCAAGGCGAGTACTTAGCTGAATGTTTTATAAGCAATGTTTAAATGCTCAGATTATAGAGAATTTAGAAAACTAAGATGATATAAGAAAGAAAATAAAATCATCTCTATCTATAACCCTAACATCCAAAGAAAAGGCTATTAACAGTTTTATGTTTTTTAAATACACAGATAAATATTCTTGTTTTTAATTAGATCACATTTTACATAATTTTTACTGTTTACCGTAACTATCCTTCTTATGTTATTTTGTTTGAAAAATCTCAAATTTATGGTTATATACCATATGAATAATGAATATGGTATAATTTAACCACTCGTTCTTCCTTTTTTTTTTTTTGACAGAGTCTCACTCTGTTGCCCAGGATGGAGTACAGTGACGTGATCTTGGCTCACTGCAACCTCTGCCTCCTGGGTTCAAGCGATTCTCCTGCCCCAATCACCCTTGCAGCTGGGATTACAGGCCTGTGGCTGATTTTTTTTTTTTTTTTTTTTGTATCTTTAGTAGAGATGGGGTTTCAACATGTTGGCCAGACTGGTCTCCAATTCCTGACCTCAGGTGCTCCACCCACCTCGGCCTTCCAAAGTGCTGGGATTACAGGTGTTGAGCCACCGCACCTGGCCTTACCACTTGTTCTTTCATTATTTTTATAACATTTCAATAAACATTTTTTATATATAAATTTTCTTAAACAGCCAGACTTTTTACTTAAATTTTATCTCTATTTAAAATTAACAGTCTTATAAAAATTAAATGCAAAAATATATAAATGCAAAGTCCAGGTCAGCTTCCCTCATACCTCCCTTCCCAGAGGCACTGTGGCATACACTGTTTTTAGACCATTTCCTTTCCACAAACATATATACATGGACCTATAATGTACATATAATTGTGAATTTATATTTAATTTAAATTAAAATGTAATTGTAAAGAGAAAATTCAATATCATTAAGTAAACGGGCAAAAAGGGACAAAGTTTGGTATATGAACTCTAAGCATGTTTAGAATAAGCAGCCTAATGAGTCAGCGTCGGTCAGAGAGATGATTCTCTGCAGCCACAGGCAGGTCTGGGAAGCCAGGGTTCTGTCGGGTTAGCAAACAGAATCGTGAAATAAAAGATGTCTCCTGCTCTTGAAGACTAAGTGCCAGGATGGTAGTGACTATGTATTGGTCTGGTTCCTCTCTGATTTCCAATGCTTGGCACCTGGAGGAAGAGACTCAATGAACATCAGGAGGTATGGATCTGCCAGAGCAGGGACAGGCTACCCCAGTCTGGCCCTTCATTCAATGAAAGCTGGAAGGGGCCATTTCAACAGCGCTCGTTCCTGAGGCATATTTCTCTAAAGAACAGACTGATTCATGATGTGTGACAAAAGCAGTTAGATGTGACTGATGTCTATAAACAAAACTCATACTGCTGCCATTTTTTAAAGATAGTATCTTACATGTGACAGAAATATATACTGTGTATTATATAACTATAATAGGATTAGAGTGAATGCGTGTTTTCTAGAAGAATTCATACAAATATGGAATTTAAGAGTGTCTTTCTAGGTCAACCCATTTTGACATTTGTCCTCCCAGACTCCTCTACCAGTATAACACAGTGGGGAAACAACAACAAACAAAAACCTGGAGGCCTGCTTTTGTTTCTAGCCATGCAGGATTTGTCCTCTTTGAACTACAGGTTAACTCATCTGTAAAAAGGAGGCCAGACTGAAGGGGTCTACAAGGCCTTCCAGATCCATTACATGATTCTCGACACACCATAACATAAAGAGAACCCTATTGCACAACTACCTTTTGTCCAAAGCATGGAGCAGAAAATGCTAATTCCCAATCCTGGGTGTTTCTCCTCTTCCCTTCCTTCCACAGAAGGCACAGGATTCTGCAGTTTACAACACTGACCTGAAAAGCCTCTTAGTGCAGTCCAGTCTCTGATCAAGAGCCCCCAGCCCACCCCTTCTATTTTTTGAGGCACGTGTTTTTCAGTCCTGGATAACCTGCTGCCAAGGAAGAGTAACTTCCCGTAAGAGCTCACCCGAGTGTCCGTTCAGCTTCCGCGACATGAGCATGTCCTCCGTGATGTAGATGCACATGTCTGGGCTGACTTCCAGAGGCTCTTCATTCATCTGCTCCAGATCCCGGGGGTCATCAACCAACATCTCTATTTCTGACACAGAAGAAGGAAAAGACAGTTAATAACAAAAAGGGAAATGACCATCATAATATACGACCATATTTTGAGAGTGGCTATGTAATTATTCATATTTGAAAATAAATTTGCTAATGAGACTCCAATAGGAAACTCCAGAGACCATTTTCAACAGGTGCTACTACTCTCTCTCTCTCTTTTTGAGACGAAGTCTCACTCTGTCACCAGGTTGGAGTGCAGTGGCGTGATCTCCACTCACTGCAACCTCCACCTCCTGGGTTCAAGCGATTCTCCTGCCTCAGCCTCCCAAGTAGCTGCGATTACAGGCACATGCCACCATGCCCAGCTAATTTTTGTATTTCTAGCAGAGATGAGGTTTCACCATGTTGGCCAGAATGGTCTTGATCTCTTGACTTCGTGATCCGCCTGCCTCGGCCTCCCAAAGTGCTGGGATTATAAGCGTGAGCCACCGCACCCAGCCTACTTGTTCTTTCTTATAGGACTGCTGCATCACCTACATATTTTCTAATACTATAATTTGCCAATTATTCTGCATTTTTTAAGAAGAAAAACTACACTACCTTGCTGCAATGACAAAGGGCAAACCGAAACTGATGGGCCCTTTGCCTGATGCCAAAGCAAGGCTCACTGACACAGGCAGATGAGCAGTTCACAAAGCCCCCATGTCCACAGCTGCCTACTCTCAAGGGTACTCAGTGACTTGAGATCCACACAAATTCTACAGAAACTAAACAGATGGTCTGCACTTTTCTTTAACTGAGTCTATCTTTTCCCTTAAGCCTGAATGCTACAGCACTTATTTGAGACAGAAAAATAATGTAAAAGAGGGCCACAAATGTTAAATTTGGCTGAGATAAGCCATAGGATTCATCTTATCTCCTTAACACGCAGTAAGTTCCTATCAGCCAGGTGCTATATTTCTTTTATCCTCTCTATAGTTCTGGTTACATGGGAGGCGCTTAAGAAAAACATTACTAAGTAACTCAATGGTGTGGACTCCAATTTTTATTTTGTGGGGGGGGTCCAGAAGTTCAAGATGTTTCTGTCACTATCACTGTACTCCACTGTGTCGTCCTAACTACTGTTTTATTTAATCTGGGAATTAGAAATACAGACACAATGGCTGCAGGACTAATCTCCAATCTACTTCATAGAAACAGCTAAGACTTTGAGTCCACAACCATCCAGTCTTGTGGCCGCAAAGGATCACAACTAGAGGGATGTTTTGTTCACAGCCAAACACAAGCAATTCAACCAAGTCACTGGGGAAGACAAGACACCTCTTCCACCCTATTACTACTGCCTAACGTTGCTCTCCAGACACCAGTTCTGTAGAACCAATGCTTGAAAAAACTGGGAGACTAAACAGAGAGCCAGTGAGGACAGTACTGTTACCATCGTCCTGCGAGTCCTCTTCCAGCCGGTCTTTGCCGCCACTCTCTACCCCTGAGGTGTGGGAGCTGCCATGACTGGTCATTGAGCTGCAGGTTTTCAGCTTGCGGTGGATGGCACTGCTGGAGTAGCTGTCTTCTGGCCCCGTGTCCCGGGGCTTGGTGTCTGCCTCAATGCCCGAGGTGTGGGAACTGCTGTGGCTGGTGGTGGAATGACGGGACAGGCGCTTGTGCTTCATGCTGCCCGCGCTGCTCCCGCTGGCCCGCGATCGTTTTTCCAGCTGGTCCATGTCGAGGTCCAGGTTGTCACTGATGTAAGATTCCCGGTACTGCTTCTTCTCTGTGTGGTGGGGAACACAGCTCATGATTACATCAACCAAAACAGAAGGAACGGCTGGTGAGCTTAAGTGACTCATCAGGCCAAGAACAAGGATAACTTGAAGTTCAGAATCTAGTGACTGGAAAGTAGTAATAATTTAGATAGGAATTTGACTTCAGAAGACTGAAAAATGACTAAAAACCAGTGTAACAGATTTGAGGGGGATATTTAAATTACTCAGTTTTTTTAAAGATTCAAGCAGTATAAGAACAGCGGTATTTAAAGTGCAGTTACAGACCACTTCTTGTCTGCAAATTTATTGGTCCACAGTGAAATAAGTTCAGTGAGTGATATGAACATTTAGAAACTTCCAGAGCTTTGTGACATTGCCATGACAGCCACCAATGTGATTTTGTATTTTGCGAAAGTATCCACAGCATATTAAATATTTTAAAAATCTGGCCCTTTTCTGCAGATAATTTCAGAAGCACTGCTCTAGAAGACTACTTAATAAATATAATTATGTTAATTGCCATTCATTTTATTTGTTCATCTGTTCAATTTGTTCCATTGTTAGCTTAGCTCTAGCTGTTGAATACAATTTAATATAAAACTATTCTTCTGAGAATTTCTTGTGAAGATTCTAAAATTTGGATTTTCATTAATATAAGATTGATTTTCTCCACTTAGGCTGAATTAGTGAGGTTTTATCATCTACTTAGAAAATACCAGTAATCACTACTGGTTTGATGATTTCCAACTCTGACTGGTAAAGCTGTTCTTTGATTTAACATGTCAGTGCTGTTCTTGAACGCAATCAAAAACACAACACTGTAAAGTCTCTTTTATTACATACTAAACTAACCATTCCATTAAGGCACAAAGTTACAACCCAGCTGCCAGTTACAACTTGACTGACACAAAAATATTATTTTTGTCTTTTAGGTCAGAAATGTGAAACAAGGAAGAAGTTTAGATTCCTTGCCTTTTTAATACTGGTGAGAAATAATACAATACAACAATGTCAAAAAGGGAGAGTGTATTTGGGGACTGTTAAGTTGATCTAATTTTAGAAACTGCTAACTAGTAGACTAATTGGGTTCTCAGGGGCCTGTTAATGGATTTTAA